CTGGGCAGGCGCCCAGGGCTGGAGTCTCTGGAAGCTTCAGGGACTGGGTAGCCCTGCTGGAAACTGGAGCTGGTGGGGGGTGGGGGATGGGGGCGGGGTGGAGATCATTCACCAGTGCCTGCCCAGCTCTGTACCCACAGGGGCCGGGGCTCAGGGCGGAAGGTGATACGGACTCTACTTGGTCACTCCTACTCCTTCAAGACCCACTCAGGTACCAACTTTTCCCAAAGCCCCTGAACCAACCTCTGGGCTGGGCTTGGCTCCACACAGGATTTAGCACAAACTCAGAAAATACCATGCAGCAAAACCGACCTGACAGTAGAGTCAAGGCTTCGCCCTTAGAAAGCCCACAGGCCAGTGGGAAAGCCAAAGAATTCAACGGATGGAGCGTGGGCACGAAGGTGACTCTGGACTCCCAAACAACCAGGACTGGCAGGCACTGTGGGACAGTCCACAGAGCCTTAATGGGGGCCTTTTCCTCTGGAAGGACACACTGCTGGGATAAGGGGTCAGAAGGAGCCAGGGTACTGAGGAAGGGGGAGGCATCATCTTTGTCCCCCACCCCCACTCCACACTCATACTCTCACACACCCATACACTCACACACTCACTCTCTCTCTCTCTCTCTCTCACACACACACACACACACACACACTCAAGAGTCCTGGGGGCTGAGGGGCTTCCAGGGATCTGGGTTCTGGTCCTGGCTCTGGGACCTGGACCATTCCCTTGACTTTTCTGGGTCAATCCATTCCCTCACCAGTATAATGGAAACTCTCATATCCCCTTTCCTCTCAGGAGAGGCACCGGGTTAAGGACAGGCCTCCAAGTAACTAAGAACTGAGCCCTCTGGTATGACTTCGGCACATGCGAGAGTCCCACCCCATCCGTGTCCTGGCTGGTACCTTCTTTCCTCAGGCCTTCATTTCGGGACAGTGAGCCAGGGAGACAGAGCCTGTGGTCAGAAGAGTGCGGCCAGGCCTGGCATCCAAGTGGGAGAGTAGCCCCAAAGCAAATCCACTTCCTGTCCAGGGGCCCTTTCTCTCCGTCCTCTCTCCCTACTGGGGGAAAACCACCCTCCCCGCACATATGTCCTCACCACTGTGTGAGAAGCTTTATTGCAAGGACACGTGTCTGGGCCTTCCCTCATCTCACAAGCTCTAAGCTGCTAGCCTGGAGGGATCCTTCTCTCATTCACTTTTTTATCATAGTGAACCAGTCTGCCTTGGGTGAACCTTCCACTCACTAGAGGACATCAGTCAAGTGACTCCCCCTTCCTCAGCCTGTGTCCTCATCTAAAGCGAGGGGATGACAAGGGGGCCTACCCCATAAGGTTGTTCTGAGGATTGCCTAACACTTGGTAACACATATTAGCTCTTATTATTATTAATAATATTCCACAAATATTTATTGAGTGACTTTTCCATATCAGATACTGTCGACCACCGGGGACGAATGGTAACTAGGGCAGATTTGTGCAACCGAACCTGTCTACACAAAGCTTCCCTTCTAGCAGGAAGATAGCAGGGCTCCACACTGCCCGATACCCGGGGGTTCCATGACGCAGAGCACAATGCCAACAGCATCCCCCCGCAAGTGTGCAACCCCACAGCCCCGCAAGACAGACGTCACACAAATAGTACTCGGTGACTCTTACAGTAAGTGCCGCCAAGTACGGTACTCCAAGAGCACAGGAGAGGTGACGGACCCGCCTGAGAAGTCGAGAAGGCTGCTGCAGGAAGGGAGATCCGAGCTAGGAGCTGAAGAAGCAGCAGTAATAACTCTGACAGGGGCAAGGGGTGGGCAGCTACACAGAAGCTCGGAGGCTGGGGCAAGCCTCCCTGAAGGTGCTGAGGGAGACGGGTGGGCGAGGCCAGCAGGGGCAAGGAGGCAGCAGCGCCCGGTCACCAGGTGGCCTTGGTCAGCACTCAGGATTCTATCATCACCATGATAAGACACTGGCAGGGTTTCAGCAGGGAACAGATGCAAACAATGTAATGACCCTTTAATACGCTCACTTTGGCCACAGGGTGGAGAACGGAAGGGCAGAGATGCTAGAGTAGACACAGGGAGACCAGTTAGGGGGCAGGATCAGTAACAAGGCTGCTCTGGGTTCAAATCCCACATGCGCACTTTCTGAGCTGGAAGTGAGATCACAACAGCACCTGCCTCCTTGGGTGGCCAAGAGGATTCAATGAGCAACTTCACATATGTCAAGAACTGGCAAGAATCCCAGGCCCACAGAGAGCGCTGTGTGTTCAGCTGGCACCATTCATCCAGGGGAGACATGGAGGTGGCCCGCACAAGAGGCAGCCACGAGACAGAGTGAGACAGGGCCAGACTCCAGGGGTAATATCAATAAGGTCCCGCTGCGAGCACCCAGCTGCTCCAGCCCCTGGGCCAGCTGCGACCGCCTAAGACCCTGAGCCAGACATGCCCAGCTGAGCCTTTCCCACATCCTGACCCACAGAGACCGGAAGAGAGAAAAAATGAATGTTGTCGTTTCCAGCTACTGAGTTATCGGCTGATTGTTTATGCAGCAAAGGAGAAATGCAACAACTCGTATTGAGATTGACCTGGCGGGAATCTTCTTTCCCCTGCAAGCAAGAAGCTGCACCTTCGCAATAAGAAAGGTGTACATGGAAGAGGGAGGATGGGCCCCCGCAGAGCCTGGGACCTTTGCAACTTCTGGGATCCTGCCTTCAGAGAGTCATCGGATAGTTTTGAAGCTAATCGTTTCAGCATTATTTGTAATAGCAAAAACTAGAAATAATGTCCATGCCAAATAAGGGGAGGGTTCAATAAACTGTGGAGCATTTGCATGAGGAACTCTATGTGTCATTAATAAATATGGATTTATTAATGCTGGGTTAATGACAGGGGAAATGCTGGAGGAAAAAAAGCATTAGTCCAGATGTCACACACAGTTTAAGCACAATTGCGTCTGAATACACAGACACGTGCGCACATACACGTACGCACACATGCACAGCAAAGACACACAAAAAATCTTTTTAATGTTCTTCCAAAGTGATGAAATTATGGATGATTGCTATCTTCTCCTGTCCAAATGTGAAGGTTTTGTGTTTTTAAAAATAGTTATTGAGGGATGCCTGGGTGGCTTAGTTGGTTGAGCATCTCCCTTTGGCTCAGGTCATGATCCCAGGGTCCTGGGATTGAGTCCCACATCGGGCTTCTTGCTCAGCGGGATGCCTGCTTCTCCCTCTGCCTGCTGCTCCCCCTGCTTGTGCTCATGCTCTCTCTCTCTGACAAATAAATTAATAAAATTTAAAAAAAATGTTTTTAAATAGTTATCGAAAGATAAATATTAGCTCTTTTGAAATGTGCCCTCAGAACTCTGGTCACTCTGTCTCTAGGATGACACAGCACCAGAAGGCTAGCCTGGGGAAGGTAAAAGTTCTTGCCTACTTTGTTCTGGGCTAGTGCCCCAGTGCTAGATTGGTGCCTGGTACGTAGCAGGTGTTTAGCAAGCCTTTGTTGAACGAGCAAACGAATGCATGGCACTTATCAGACTGCACTGTATCCTTCTGAGTGCCCAGCAGCCTCCCTCACCAGCCCTCTGGCAGGGACCTGGCCCGGCCCCACTCTGTGTCCCCAGGGTTCAGCACAGGGCCTGGCACTGAGCAAAGGCCCATGGATGAATGAAAGGCTGAATAAATGAGTATTCTACCCAAGAAATCTTCCCTGATCACAATGTGCCAAATCCTTGAGGGCCAGGGTGCATGTGTGTAGGAGTGTGCTGCCTGTGTCTGAGAGAGAGAAGAGGGGATATGAATATAGTAGGGCTTTCTGAGAACCCAGAGAACTCTGCCTGGCCTGACTCTGGCTCTGCCTTCTTCCGGAGGCCCTCCAGCTCAGGGGCGACTGCCTGTTTTATCCATCCTCCCACCACCAGGGAGGAGTTCTGGAAGGCTGACTCAAACTACTTAAGATGTAGCTTTGCTTTTACAAGAAGAGAGAAAGCAAGCTCCTTCCTGGAATGACTTTTCTGCTCCTTTGCCCTGGGACAACCTCTGTGACAAGCATCTGGCAGGGAAGCCAGCAGGTGGAGACAGAGCTCTGGGTGGAAGGAGGGCAGGTGGTTGGAGGTGAGCTGAGGGATGCAGGTGGTAGAAAGTGGGTACAGGAGTTGAGCAAGACTTTGCTGGGGGTGTACGGGAGTGACCCTGACCTGGTGATTGTGCGTGTGCTGAATGTCACAGTGCGGGGAAGGGGCATATGACTGTGCTGGAGTGAGGGACTGAGGATGGCAGTGAGAGGGGTGCCGACACAGAGGGCCTGATAGAAAAGGGATGGGGAGCAGCCCACGAGACTCTGAGCCTGAATGACCGCTGGAAGGGTTAGCGGGCCTGACAGGGGCTGGCCAGGCCCAAAAGGAGGCAGAAGCTTGAAGGCCGGAGCTCAGAAGGGACCCCTGACTCCCACTCCAACCCCCTACCTCGGTTGTCCAGAATGCCAGCCCCAAAAAGACTGTCCACGTTTTATAAATTAAGTCTCAACAGATATGACACCTCAGGCCCATCCCAAACATGGGCTCAGAGATCTGGAGGTTAAAAAACACTGAGAACCCCAGAGCACAGCCAGCCTGATGTCTGCCACGACAAGCAGGGAGACCAAGGCCCAGGGACTTCCTAACATTCCCGAAAGCCCAAGGCGCCAGCCCCCAAGACCTGGGTGTTTTCAAAAGCCATGAAAGAGGCCTGCCAGGTCCTAGCTGCTCAGGCAGCTCCGAGAAGCAGGAGGTGATGAACGATTTTCATTAACAGCTGGAGCTACAGGTGCAGTGCTGGGGCGGGGGGTGGTACTGTGGGGCCTGACTCCTGAACCGAGGTGTGAGGGCACCCCTGAGAATAGGCCCCGGGGCTGCTCACAGCCCGGCCCTCAGGGCACAGCCCGGGCCTGGTGCTCAGTAAGTGAGCAAATAAACAGAAATGTGAATGAACAACAATAACAGCAGCTAACACTTACTTAGTACTTACTTTGTGCCAAGCGCCATTCTCAGCATTTTACAAATATTAACTCATTCAATCCTCAGGAAAATTTTATAATTTCCATAATAAAAGATTACGAGCTGGGGCGCCTGGGTGGCTCAGTTGGTTAAGCGACTGCCTTCGGCTCAGGTCATGATCCTGGAGTCCCTGGATCGAGTCCCGCATCCGGCTCCCTGCTCGGCGGGGAGTCTGCTTCTCCCTCTGACCCTCCTCCCTCTCATGCTCTCTGTCTCTCATTCTCTCTGTCTCAAATAAAAAAAAAAAAAAAAAAAAGATTACGAGCCCCATAATAAAAACTTCATTATTCCCATCACACAGATGAGAAAACCGAAACAGAAGGGTTAAATAACCTGCCCAAGGCCACATAGCTTTGAATCCTATCAGTCTTGTTCTAGAACCCTTGGTCCTACCAGTCTGCCAAACTGCCTCCCACCTGACACCTGCACCCTCACAGCTGTTCGTTCATTCCCACACCATCTTCCTCCAGGAGCCTCACCCCAACACCCGTGTCTCACCTCCAGTATCCTAACAGATGTTTTTTAAAGCCATTAAAAAAAAATAATGTATTGAGGTGAAATTCACATAACATGAAACTTACCATTTCAAAGTGAATAATTAGTGGCATTTAGTACATTCATGATGTGCAAAAAAAACAAAAAACCTACCTCCTCCATTTCCAAAACATTTCCATGGGTCCACAGTAAAATGCCTCACCCATAGGTAGTCTCTCCTCCCCATCCCCTAGCGGCTACGGATGGATCTATTCTGGACATTTCATATAAATGGAATCCTACGACGTGTGACCTGGGCGACTGGCTTCCTTCACTTAGAGCACTGTTTTCAAGCGTCCCTGTCAGAGCAGGCACCACGTATTTCATTCCTTGTTATGACTCAATACTCCTCCATGGTTTGGACTGACCACAATCGGTTTAGACATCCAACCACTGATGCACATCTGTTTCCACTTTTGGCTGCCTTTTGATCCTCACCATGACCCTGCGAGTGAGGACTATTGTCCTGTCTCCTTTCTGGAAGCAACGCTGACATCCATCCGTGGTCAAGTGGTGACTTGGAGTGGAACCCCCGGCTGCCAAACTAGAGTGTCCTTCCCTAGAGTATCCTTGTCTCCCAGCCATTCACTCACCCTGCAAGGCACACCTTTCCTGGACATCAGTTACCACATGCCAGGCTCTGGGCCAGGAGCTGACAACACAGAGTGGAGGGCTCAGGCAAGGCCCCAGGGTCCCCCAGGGCCTGAAGCTGCAGAGATGCGCTCTTGCCCACCCCCAGAGGGTCCAGAATCCAGGCACACCACGTCCAAAATGAGTACAGGGGCAGGAGGACCCTGCTCCTTTTCCTCCCTAAGTCTTCTTAGCTTTCCTTCCAGCATAGAGGGAAGATGGCCCCCAGAGGGAGGCTCTAGAGAGTTACACAGCAAGACTGCCAAGCGGAGCAGGAGCTGCTGAGCTGGAAGGGCCTCCAGAAAGCACAGGACTCACAGCCACGGAGCGGGGAGGGGGCATGGATCAGGACAGCCATGAGCGTTTCCCCTACCGATAGGCCATTTCACCCCTAAGACAGAAATGCACGAGAAAAAGCCCTTTGCCAGGAATTCCCACTACGCCTTCCTACTGTGTAACTTTGAGCCAAACCTTCTCTGAACCTTCTCTGCCCAAAAGTAGGGGCTCGGATTCTAGATTCTAGGTTGGGAGGAGTGAGCTGACTTCAGAGGGCCCTTCTTTTTGTTTTTTTGGGGGGGTTGGGGGTTTTTGAGACAGAGAGAGGTGGGGGGAGGGGCAAAGGGAGAGAGAGAGAATCTTAAGCAGGCTCCATGGGCTCCTTGGCCACTGCAGAGCCTGATGTGGGGCTCAATCTCATGACCCTGAGATCATGACCTGAGCCAAAATCAAGAGTGAGATGCCTAGCCGACTGAGCCACCTAGGACCCTTCCTTTTTTTTATTTTTTTTTTGAAGACTACTCGCCTTCAGGCCACCTCTCTGTGTAAGACAGTGTGGCTCTGAGCACGAGAGACCCACAGAGGCCACCTCCTTCCCGCCCTCCAAGAAACGGCCTCTGCCACACATCTGTTAACAGGACCATCCTGAGGGAGTTTCTGGCATTCCACGCGGAGGCAGTCGGTCCCAGTCGTCACTAATAGTCAGCACTGCCTCCTCAAGCCCCCCTCACACAGGACAGGGGCCCAACAAATACGTGGTGAAGGAACAAGTGAAAGAATAAACAATCCCTTGGTGATTTCCCAGCTTCTAGCCTCTCTTTTTATTTTTCCACACCACTACCACTTGAACCCTCAGCTTCTGCCTCCCCTGCAAGCCGTGTGGCTTTAAGCAGACTGCTTAATTTAGCTAAGCCTCGATTTCCCCATCTGCATACAGGGACTCTCCTTGTGGGGCAATGAGGGAGATGAAAAGAGAAAGCAGAGGCCCAGCACCTCAAGGGCTAAGGAGTCCTCCAGGAAAAGCAATTGAAGGAAAGCTGTTTCTCTTTGGCATCCCACCCCATCCCACGCCCCTCGGCCCTGATCCTCTGGTCTCCCTCTGTTCCAGAGGCTGGAGGAAAGAGCCTAGCCTCTGGGCTGGCCCCTGGCTGGATGTAAATGTTTATGCCAAGCCCAGCCTCCCAGGGACAAGTTATTTGCTCTGCTTGTAATTAATTGCAGGAGGCCCGTCTGGGTAATAAACTCTGCTGGAGAAACATAAACAGTTTGCACAGAGCTCCAAATCCATTGTGAGGCCAACAGAGAGGGTCTGCAGGAATGGAATGCTCCCCCCACCACACGACGAAGACCTTTGGAGAGCATGTGAAAAATAGCAGCTGACATTATGGGGTGCTTACCTTGTTTTAGGCACAGTTGAGCCCTTGGATATCTGGTATCACTATTTTCTCCATGTTAAAGAGGAGGAAGCTGAAGCTGAAGCTGATCAAGGCAGGGCAACTTGCCGCAGCTGGAAAGTGGGTGGGCTGGGAGGGACACCAAGCCTGACTTCAGAAAAGGGGGGTGTGGGGAAGGAGGAAGACAGCCATTCACTCAACAAAAATGTATGGGTACCCGCTGTGCCGGGTACTGGGACCAGAAGAAAAGAAAAGAAAGTCATGGGTACAGAGGGTGACAGGAAGTTACAAGTGGCCATTCAAGCTCTGCAGGGCACAGACCACCCAGTAGGCCTCTGGTAGGAGCGCACAGTAGGTGTGTAGTAAGTGAATTTCTGGCTAAAACTTACTGCTCTTTTCTTTGAGCCAGTGCAGCTTCTCGCCTACCGGTTCAAGGTGTCTCGAAGGTACTGTGCCAGGGCTGGGGGTGTAATGATGGATGAATAAAATATATAACCTTTGCCCCCTGGGAGCCCAGTCCAACCGAGGGTATGCGCAAAGGGATAAAGGAGTAGAACACAAGACAGCTTGATGAGCGTCATGGGGGAGGAGGGAGGGATGACTGGTATTTATTGAGCACCCACTGTGTGCCAGGTACCGGGCTAAGGCCTACATTATCTCATTTAGGCCTTACTACAACCCAGGCAGTGGGGAGAGAATATTATCACCCCTGTTTTAAAGATAAGAAAACAGAGGTTCAGAAAGATTACATAACTGTCTCAAGGTCACAGACATAAGCAATAGTGGTGGGATGGGAAACGTAGCCTTACACCAAAGCTTCCATTCTTTCCCGCTAGGCCCCACCCCACTGCCCTTCCCTCCCCTCTCCAAAGGGGGCGCTGAAGTTGGGAGGGACAGGACGACCACCGTTAAGCTAGCTTCCCCTTTCCCCAACTTTCCACGAGGGTGCAGGATGTGGCAAGCAGCGCACCTTGCCGGCCTGGTTTCCCTTCTAAGCAGGAAAGGTCAGGCCTGCCTGCCTGGGCTGCTTCTCTCAAACAAAACCGGTCAGGCTGGTGACCTCTCACCCCCCAGGAGCAGGAAAGGTCGGTCCAGATTTCCACTCTGCCCTCCCCCACCAAAAGGCCACTCAGTTTACAATAGCTCTTTCCCAGGAAACTGTACTTCACGACTTATAAACCCTTTTCACCCTCTTAGCTCATCTGACTACCAGCACCCCACCCCAGCCGTCCATATCCGTACACCCAGCACCTAGCACCGGGCACAGTGCAGTGCAGGTGAATCTGACAGACAGCAGGCTGCTTCCACCCCAACAGAAGGGGTGCCCCCCACCCCCTTCCCCCACCCCTCCCCACCCCTCCCCCTGCCCATCTCCATCCAGGTTCCACCAACATTTACTGAGCTCCCGCGACAAGCCTGGGGCTCTCCTAGGCAGTTTCACCTGCGGAACATTATTTAAACCTTTCCACAGCCTTTTCAGGCAGGGATGATGTCCATGTTATACATGAGTAAGACTGAGGGCAGAAGGACTTTTCCAGTCTCTTCTTTACACAGCCAGGGAGATCTGCAGCTGGGCCTGGCCTGGAACTGGCTCCCCCAGATGACTTTCAGGTCCTGCCTCATTAGGGAGGGCTGTAACTGATGACCAGGTCCGCATGTGTGGGATGAGACCTCCCCGAGCATATGCAGGGACGTGGCACCAACATCCTGGCACAAAGGACCACCCGGCCTGAACAGGGGCAGATCCAGGCTTGAATGATGAGTTCATAGAGTTTGGAAGCCCTCTTAAAAAAAAAAAAAAAAAAGAAGGAGAGTACACAAATACCTCCCTTTTGCACCTTTCACAAAACGTCTGAGCACGTGGACACAGTGCTAGGTCTCAGAAGGGGCCCTGGAGCACAAAGGGCCTGAAGCTGAAGCCGCACCAGCCTCATGGTGAGTCCGCCCCTGGGCTGGAGGAAGGGCCCAGAGGCGATCCGAACACCACCCGCCTTCACAAAGGCCCTGCCTCCAGCCCAACAGACAGAGGAGGCTCCGGAGGACATTCCTTCTTCTTCTCACGCGTCCTGCTGCGACAGAACCCTCCCTGAGACCGGACCAAGTCTGTCTGTCTGTCTCCCTGTTGCCACGGTTTCAGAAGAAGCAGAGCTCATCTGAGCACCGGACCGCCCTGCATGCTCACATGGACAGCACCGCTGGGTTTCTCTGTGATCCTGGAGCACATCTCCAGGAGGATCCTCATGCCTGGGAGGGCAGGGTCATCCTCACCTGTGCCTGGAACCCAGAAACAGCCCTACCAAGAACCCCAGCCCCAAGTATTTGAAGGCTATGACACTGTTTACCAAGTGTTCCCACATCCCGCTTCCCATTTGGCCCACACATCAGCGCTGG